CAACTCAACAGCACCTAACAACATTCATAAATTTAAATAATATGCTTCTGTTTCTTTCCATCAACTGTAGATAATCTCTCTTAAATTCCAACTCTTCAAGATGAGAATATTAACAATCCTATTTTTATTTTTATCTATTTCTCTTAGCACTTTTATAGACTCTAGATTGTTTCCCAAAGTTAAAAATTTAATCAACAGCTGATTTATTATTGTTGTTGATTAAGTGCTGTTGAGTCAATTCTGACTCATAGCGACCCTGTCTATGGTTTCTGAGGAGTGGCTGGTGTGTTTGAACAGTCGACCTTGCTGTTGAAATTGACTTTGTGGTCCAGTGCATTTATTATGACTATGTAGATATTGCCAATCTCAGAATCAAATAGTGAGCTAGATTATTAATTTATTTTTCGACAATGTTTCTTTTTATGTGTTCTCTGCCTTGATAGAATATTTACATTCTTCCAATGTCTCTCTCTTGCCATCTATTCTGAGGAACTTGTTTCTTCTCCTTACCCCTGTCACTGTCTGCTTTAATCTGAGCCTTTTGAACAATTATTACCCTGTGACTCTCCTTCAATGTTTACTTGGATTAGACCATTATTTCCTACCCTGTTTCTTTATTTTCACCTTCATTTTGACTTGCACCTTTATTTTCTTATATTCATAAGTAGTTTTCTCAAGAAAATTCAGAAACTTAATTCTGAATGTTTACATTTTGTCTATCTAATCCTAATATTTCAATTCTGGTGTGGTGCTGCAGGATAAACACCACACTTCTAACCACCAGGGTAGCAGTTCAAAATCACTAACAGTTCCTTGGAAATGCTATACAGGGCCACTATGAGTTGGAACCAATTTGATGGCACTTTACAACTCAACAAGAACAGCTTCTGGAAAATAAGTTTTGGAGTCCTGGTATGCACTGTAGGATAAGCACTGGACTACTAACTGCAAGATTAGTGGTTCAAACCCACTATGAGTTAGGACCAACTTGATGGCCCTTAACAACAACATTATTAATTGCCTGACTAAAACATGAATTTCTTAGAAACAGATACTATATTTTCTTTATATAGTAGACCATCAGACTGTGCCTTACATGGTACTTTGGTGACAGATAATGCAATATATGCTTATTGGCTAAGTGAGTAAATGTATTCCCTTCTTACTAGGGTTTTCATCTCAGCTATTCCAAGAATGATGTAAATAAAATCAAGGAAACAGTTTTGATCTTCTTATTGTCCAGTTACTTTGCATAGAAAACCCATTTTCATAGCATTATGTCTTAGCAGCTATCTTATAAATGTGTCTGAGTATATTATGTGAACAAATGCAACCCTTAACCACCA